AGTGCATAGAGACGCTGCCTTCCCCTGCAAGCTGGATCTGGCCTGTGAGGCTTGCTCCTACCCCAGCCCTTCCTGACCCCCAACGGGAAGCCAGTGCTGGTGGTCCAACCTCAAGGGAGGCACGGGCTAGAGCACCAGTGCAGGCTTCCCCAGGCAGGGTGGGGGTTAGGCGAGCCTGGAGACTGCGGCCCACCTGCAAGATGGTTGTGGGCCACTAATGATCCACAGACCACACTTTGAGAACCACTGCTCTAAGGCAGGGGTGGCGAACCAGAGGCCAGGGGGATGGATGCGTCCCCTGGCTTCCTCGGATCTGGCCCCTGAGGCTCAGAGCTCCCCCCAAGGATGAGGAGCCCACGCTGGCACTTCAGCCCCTCCGCTGCCCCACCGCAGGGGTAGAGCACACAAAATCCACTAGCCTGGGCCCCCCAGGCTCTGGTGCGGGAGGGGAATGTGGGGAGCATCTTTCTCCCTCTCGGATGGGGGCCACGTCAGCGAGGGTTTGTTGGGGTGTTTTTGTTTGTTTGTATCTCATGTGTGTGCGGCTCCCGACTGATTTTCCTGTGGGTCAGAAGCCCCACCACCCCTACTCTCTTAACTTATGTAGTTCTTTTCTGAACCATAGAAATACATACTGCACCTGGTCCTAGGCAGCGCTCTCGTTCAGTGACTCTCAACCAGGACTCTCACACTTCTGTGGGTATGCAGAGGTCTTCCAGCAGGCACATCAACCTAGCTAGGTATTTTTCTAGTTTTACAACAGGCTTCATAAAATGCACTAGTAAAGTCAGTACAAATTAATACTTTCATAGATGAACTGACTATGGCTTTATATATTATACACTGAAATGTAAGTACAGTATTTCTATGCCTATTTTATAATTATGTGGTAAAAATGAAAAGTTAGCAATTTTTCAGTAATGATAGGCCATGACACTTTTGTATTTTTTATGTCTGATTTTGTATACACGTTTACATGCAGGGGGGAGGTGGCTCCATGGGAGCTGGCATGCCCAGAGAGTTGGCTTACTGGCTCCTGTGGAGCCACCTCCTCTTCCCCCTCCTCCCGCGCTGCTGCCTCTGATACAGAGGCAGCAGTGCCGGGGGAGGGGGGGCAGGTGGGAGCTGGTGCTTTTAAGCCAGCTCCCCATAAGCACCAGCTCCTGCAGCCCCATCTGCCTCTCCCTGCACTGTGCTAGCTCCCGCCTACTCCCCCCCCGCTCTGATACAAAGGCAGTGAGGGTTGGGGTGCCTTGCTCGTCATCGTGAAGGTTAACTGATGAGCCCAGAGGATCCTGAATTGTGGGACCCAAACACACGGCAAGAAGGAAGGGGAGAGTGAGCACAGACCCAATCCCGAGGCATGGATGGAGGAAAAAGCCAGAAGAGTCTTCAGCGGGCCACCTCTGGGTTCAAGGGAGAATTCCTGGTCAAGTACCTGCACGGAAGCTAGTGCTCAGTCCCTTTCCAAGCATCAGCATTTTAAAGTTGGAGAAAACCTAGCAGCAGAAGCCAGGTGCATTTTCTTGATGCTCATACACCTCAGATTCTGCAAGGACGTGAAGCTCGTTCTCTGAGCAGGCAGTAGGAATCCCCTCTTGTAGAATGCCACCAAATGTCTCTGAGGTAACCTTTCCATTGCACCGGCCCGCAGACCGGCGTGGATAACGAGTGTCTGTGGAAGTGAATGTCACTGTCTAAGGTCCACCAGCGAGAGGGGGGAGGGGAGCAGGGATGCGGCCAGAAAAGGCAAGTAGATGGGAAGGCAACAGGCGATGGACCAGGCTGGAGAAGAGCACAAAGGGGTCAGGCCTCCTTTCTGCAGGGAAAAGACCGAGGAGGGCATCTGGGAGTCCACTCTCCAGACTCAGCCTCAGATGTGCCAGTTCAAATTCCCAGGGCTGAGCAGGAAGCCTGGGGGACGGGGCGTGGCTGGAAGGAGCAGGGCGCTGCAGTCTCCTCGCCGGGCTCGCCGCCTAATTCCGCAGATGCTTATAGAACAGGAAAGCCACGACACAGGCAAAGGCAGCAATGGCAGCTGGCAGAGCGTAGTCCTTCCAGGGAAAGGCTGCCCCGCCCCCGCCTGGGCTGGGCTTGTTAATCTTCTGAGGGGAAAGTCCCGGAGCGGCTGGTGGGTTGTTGCGATTGCCTTCCTGGTATCTGGAGAGCTTCCCGTGGGAGCCAGAGCTGGCTGAAGATGGGTTCTCATAGGCCCCGTCTCCATCATGCAGGCCGGCGGCCTCCCCCAGATCCACGCCAGGATTCTCTTCCACGTGGACTTCGTGAGTTTTCACAGTGGTGCTGTTCCAGGAACTGCTGCAGCTCTCTGGGGAAAGGGAGGCCCGGCAGGTTTTGGTAGCCCCATCACTTCCCGGGCCATTGCGAGCAGCCCAAGCTGGGAGGAAGGGGTCAGAGCGAGAGGAGTAGTGATTCTCCTCAGGCTGGTTGCTCCGTGCTTGACGGGCGCTGGCTGTGCTGGATTTGCTTATCAGGAGGGGATTGTTACCCAGAGAGCTGAAGCAGAAGCGATCGGACCTGCCAGAATATTGTTCATTTGTCTCCGCTGCGTCTGGCTGCCTCGCAGCGGGCGCCTCCTCATCCCTGGTAGACAGTAGCACGCCCGGCTTGCTGAACTCCACCTCCTCAGCCGGCTCGCAGAACACCTGGCAGCCCCGTGGGGAGCCGGGCAAGGCATTGCGGGTCTCCCGCCTTGTGCTCCCAGGGAGCTCCGGATTGGGTCGGGTCACACTTGGAGCAGGGGGCGTGGGCGTTCGATTTGCCTTCAAGAGACAACAATGGAGACACGTTAGCTCACAAAGCACAGCATGTCACTGGAAGCACGGATGGGGCCTGAGGGTGCTGCAAGCCGGCTTGAGTCTGCCCCCAGCGTAACCCCCATCCCTCCTAACACTGCATGGTTCTGAGGGACGGTTCGTAGCTAGCTCCCCCTCCGCTGGAAGGGTGGGAAGCCCCTTGGCAGCTGTGGAGAGGAGGTTATCCGCGCTCGGGAGGGCCCTGTGGGATGGGGAAAAGGTGGGAGAAGGAGAAGGAAACAGTGGAGGTGACAGACTAGCCGCTAAAACGAGCATGGGGCTAGAGGGACTGATTGAGGCATCGTTAGATGAGGTTCTGGAACAAACTGATCAACTGCACAGTAACTTGTCACCGGGAACAGACGACATTCACCCAAGAGTTCTGAACAGGGATGTTAGGCAGCGTGTAACTGAACAGCCACGTAACTGCACAAAATACTGTCGGTTCCACGACTATTCGATAGTCTCTGGGGGCGGGGCCGGCAGCCAGTGCACTCCCGGCTCTACTCCTGGGGAGCCCCCCAGCTACCCCACCGCCTCTGTATCAGACCACATGCTGCTACCTCTGATAGATGCAGCAGTGTGGGGTGGGGAGGGGCAGGCGGCACCATGGAGCCAGTGCTGGAGGGAACTGGCTTTTAAGCTAGCTGCCTGCAGCACCAGCTCCTGCCTGTCCCCCCACCTCAGTGGAAGGCGGCAGGGGGTCTGCAGAACTGATACGCATGGGGAGTTGGCTTGAAAGAGGCAACAGTGCAGGGGCGGAGGGCAGGCCGATCCTGGGCTTGTGGGGAGCCAACTTTTAAGCTAGTTTCCCACAGGCATCGGCTCCCACTCCTCCCTCCGCCCCCACCGTCTCAGATACACAGGCCGTAAGGGGGGGGAGATTAGGAATGTTACATTTCAACGAATCAGCTAATCAAGTAGTCGATGGAATTTCTATCACCTAGTCGATAAGGAGGAGGTAGGGCGCTCGCTATGCCGGCTACACCTCTCCCTCTGAAATGTAGCAAGAGCCCCACGGGAAAAAGAGCAGCGGAGAACACAGGGCGAGTGGGGACTGGAGCTGTGCCCCTCTCCCCCTGGGTTCCGACTGCTGTGCTTCTGCCTTTGAAATGTAGGAAGAGCCCCATGGGTGATCCTGGCCTGTGGGGCTCTTGCTACATTTCAAAGGCAGAAGTGCAATAGTCGGAACCCGGGGCAAGCGGGGATAGCTTCAGTCCCTGCTCGCACCATTTCCCTGCTGTGCTTCTGTCTCCCCTGCCCTCCACAGACACAGTGCTGGCTTTAAGCTGGCTCCCTCCAGGGCCGGCTCCTGCTCCCCCCTCTTACTGCCTCTCTCTGATAGAGGCAGCAGGGGGAAGGGGGGGGGCGACTAGTCAAGTCACTACTCAGCTACCCAATATGCATATGCTTATTAGGTAGTCGACTCGTTGCTTACATCCCTAGGGGGAATGCATGTAGCTGACAAGATTAACCGATAAGCCTGGGCTTATCAGTTCATCATACAGTCAACTACACGTTGAGATCCTTAGTTCTGAAAAAATTCAAATGTAAAATTGCAGAACTACTAACTCTGGTTTGTAACCTGTCCTTTATATCAGCATCTGTACCAAAAGACTGGAAGAAGCTAATGTGACACCAATCTTTAAAAAGGGCTTCTGGTAATTACAGGTGAGTAAGTCTACCGTCAGTACTGGGCAAATTAGCTGAAACAATAGCAAAGAATAAAATTGTCAGACACACAGATGAACAATTTGTTGGGGAAAAGTTAAGAGGGTTTCTGTAAAGATAAACCATGCCTCACCAATATACTAGAATTCTTTGAGGGGGTCAAAAAGCATGTGGACAAGGGGAATCCAGTGGATATAGTGTACTTAGGTTTTCAGAAAGCCTTTGACAAGCTGTCATGGAAGAAGAGGGAAGGTCCTCTCATGGACTGATAACTAGTTAAAAGATAGGCAGCCAAGTGCAGACATTTTTGGTTAGTTTTCAGACTGGAGAGGTAACGAGCAGTGTACCCCAGGGGTATGCAGTGGGACCAATCCTATTCAACATATTCAGAAATGATCTGGAGAAAAGTGAAGTGGCAAAGTTTTCAGATGATACTAAACTGCTCAAGATAGTTATGTCCAAAGTACACTGTGAAGAGTTCCAAAAGGATCTCATGAAACTAGGTAAGTAGGAGACAAAAGGCAGATGACTTTTAATGTTGATAAATGCAAAGTAATGCATATTGGAAAACATAATCCCCCAACTATGTGTTTACAATGATGGGGACTAAATTAGCTGTTACCACTCAAGAGAGAGAACTTGGACTTATTGCAGATAGTTCTCTGAAGACATCCCCTCAGTGTGCAGCACCAGTCAAAAAAGCAAATAGGTTAGGAATCATTAAAAAGGGACAGAGAATAAGAAAGAAAATATCCTATTGCCTCTATACAAATGGTACGTCCACATCTTGAATACTGTGTGCAGAACATGGTCACCATCTCAAAAAAGATATATTGGCATTGGAAAAATTTCAGTAAAGGGTAATAAAAACGAGCCGGGATTTGGAACAGCAGCCATATGAGGAGAGATTAATAAGACTGGGACTTTTCAGCTTAGAAAAGAGGAGGCTAAGAAGGGATATGATATGTCTCTAAAATTATGACCAGTGTGGAGAAAATGAATAAGGAAAAATATTTACATGCTCCCATAACTCAAGAATTAGGGGTCAGGTACAGCAGGCTGAAGAGCCGGTCAGGGCAGCAGAGGATAAGGAAGAAAACTGGCAGCATGTAACCTCTAGAAGGAGAAGGCAGCCAGCTTGGGTATCCCCCATTCCGGTAGAGGTAAGTAACCGGTATTAGGCTCTCTCCACAGGCACTGCGGTGGAGAATGCTTTGGCAGGGACCGCTAAGGGAAGAAATCAGAAGGGAATACCATCTACCGGAAGGCATGGGATGGGGTGATGTTGTGATTGGGGTCTGCTATAGATCACCAGATCAGGTGGATGAGGTAGACAAGGCTTTCTTTGTACAACTGAGAGAAGCTTCCAGATTGCAGGCCCTGATTCTTGTGACTTTAACCACCCTGATATCTGTTGGGCGACCAATACAGCAGTACACAGACAATCCAGGAAGTTTTTGGAGAACATTGGGGATAACTTCTTGGTACAAATGCTGAAGGAACTGACCAGGGGCCATGCGCAGCTTGACTTGCTGCTCTCAAACAGGGAGGAACTAGTAAGGGAAGTAGATGTGGGTGGCAACCGAAGAAGCAGTGATTATGAGATGGTTGATTTCAGGATCCTGACCAAAGGAAGAAAGGATAGACGCAAAATACACACCCTGGACTTCAGAAAAACAGACATTAATCTGGAGTCAGATGTGGCAGCTAAAAAGTCAGTGAAATGTTGGGGGCCTGATCGTGGTAACACTAAAATGTGTGCATGATTTTAAGAGTTTCAATAATATGGAAGTGCTTGAGATTAAAACATACTTAAGTGTTTGTAGGATCATAGCCAAGCAGATAGATAAACAGAAGTTCCTTTTATAGTTCTGGTCTGACTTTGGAATGATCTATTCACATCTCAGCTCTATATTATCAGAATGATGCTAATACATTGGAAGGTGTCCAGAGAAAAGCAAAACATTTGTCAAGGATTGGGACTGATGATTTATGGGTAATAAAAACGAGCCGGGATTTGGAACAGCAGCCATATGAGGAGAGATTAATAAGACTGGGACTTTTCAGCTTAGAAAAGAGGAGGCTAAGAAGGGATATGATATGTCTCTAAAATTATGACCAGTGTGGAGAAAATGAATAAGGAAAAATATTTACATGCTCCCATAACTCAAGAATTAGGGGTCAGGTACAGCAGGCTGAAGAGCCGGTCAGGGCAGCAGAGGATAAGGAAGAAAACTGGCAGCATGTAACCTCTAGAAGGAGAAGGCAGCCAGCTCGGGTATCCCCCATTCCTGTAGAGGTAAGTAACCGGTATCAGGCTCTCTCCACAGGCACTGCGGTGGAGAATGCTTTGGCAGGGACCTCTAAGGGAAGAAATCAGAAGGGAATACCATCTACCGGAAGGCATGGGATGGGGTGATGTTGTGATTGGGGTCTGCTATAGATCACCAGATCAGGTGGATGAGGTAGACAAGGCTTTCTTTGTACAACTGAGAGAAGCTTCCAGATTGCAGGCCCTGATTCTTGTGACTTTAACCACCCTGATATCTGTTGGGCGACCAATACAGCAGTACACAGACAATCCAGGAAGTTTTTGGAGAACATTGGGGATAACTTCTTGGTACAAATGCTGAAGGAACTGACCAGGGGCCATGCGCAGCTTGACTTGCTGCTCTCAAACAGGGAGGAACTAGTAAGGGAAGTAGATGTGGGAACTAGTAAGGGAAGCAGTGATTAAGAGATGGTCGATTTCAGGAGCCTGACCAAAGGAAGAAATGAGAGTAGCAAAATATACACGCTGGACTTCAGAAGAGCAGACTTTCACTCCCTCAGAGAACAGAGGGGCAGGATTCCCTGGGATGCTAACATGAAGGGGAAAGGAGTCCAGGAGAGCTGGCAGTATTTTAAAGAAGCCTTATTCAAGGCACAGGACGAAACCATCCTGAAGCACAGCAAGAAAAAGCAAATATGGTAGACAACCAGATTGGCTTACTGGGGAAATCCTTGATGAGCTTAAACACAAAAAGGAAGCTTAGAAGAAGTGGAAACTTGGACAGATGACTGGGGAGTATAAATATTGCTCGAGAATGCAGGAGAGTTATCAGGAAGGCAAAAGTGTAGTTGGAATTGCAGCTAGCAAGGGATGTGAAGGATAACAAGAAAGGTTTCTACAGGCATGTTAGCAATAAAAGGGTGATCAGAAAGGGTGTGGGGCCCTTACTGGATGAGGGAGGTAACCTAGTGACAGATGATGTGGGAAAAGCTGAAGTACTCAATGCTTTCTTTGCCTCAGTCCTCATGGACAAGGTCAGCTTCCAGACAAATGCACTAGGCAACACAATATGGGAAGGAGGTGGACAGCCCTTGCTGGGGAAAGAACAAGCTAGGAACTATTTAGAAAAGCTAAACACACACAAATCCATGGGCCCGGGTTTAACGCATTCGAGGGTACTGAGGGAGTTGGCAAGTGTCATTGCGAAGCCTTTGGCCATTATCTTTGAAAACTCATGAAGATCGGGAGAGATCCCAAATGATTGGAAAAAGGCAAATGTAGTGCCCATCTTTAAAAAAGGGAAGAAGGACAATCCAGGGAACTATAGACCTGTCAGCCTTACCTCAGTCTCTGGAAAAATCAAGGAGGGGATCCTCAAGGAATCCATTTTGAAGCACTTGGAAGAGGGGAAAGTGATGGGGAATAGTCAACATGGATTCACAAAGGGCAAGTCGTGCCTGACCAATCTGATTAGCTTCTATGATGAGGTAACTGGCTCTGTAGATATGGGAAAGTCAGTGGATGTGATGTACCTTGACTTTAGCAAAGCTTTTGATACTGTCTCTCACAATATTCTTGCCAGCAAGTTAAGGAAATATGGATTGGATAAATGGACTGTAAGATGGATAGAAAGCTGGCTAGACGGTCGGGCCAATGGGCAGTGATCAATGGCTTGATGTCAGGATGGCGGTCAGTTCCTAGCGGAGTGCCCCAAGGATCTGTTCTTGGACCGGTTTTGTCCAACATCTTTATTAATGACTGTGATGGGCCGCAAGCAGCCCGCACACTAAGCCGCGCAGAAGGGCTGGAGGAAGCCGCGGCATCGGCAGAGGTTCCTAGTCACTACGGCCAGACCGGGAACGGGCGGCGACAGCAGGGCCTCCCCCTGCTCCTGCGCAGCCGGGCGGCATCTGGCCCTGGCCCCTGCATGCGTCCGCAGGGGGTGGATGACCTGTTGGACGGTCGGGGGAAGACGGGCGAGTTCGCCACGCCCAGGGAGGGGCGGGGCCCCGCGGGCACATCACAACCAGTGGACCATTTCGAAAGGGCCCGCCGGCAGAGAGGAGGGGGACAGCCTCTAAGGACGGCCCCAGGGAAGCCGTGGTCGGGTTGGCGCCACCCCCAAGGGTGGCCGGTAGGCAGACCCCATCTCCTGGAGGCCCAAGACCCCCGTGGATGCCTCCCGCCTCTGGACCGGAGATCAGACACCGAGCAGAGATGTCCACCGGGCCAGACATCAGAACCACGGTAGGCCCCGGGGATCTTTCAGACGGGGACCCGAGACTCGCGGAGGGGAGGAAGCAGCCCGGGGCGGGGCCCTTTTGGCAACCGTGGGCAGATGTGTTGAGGGAGCGCATTCCACGTTTGCCGTGCAGTGAGCTAGTAGGCCCCTGCACTTAGGGCCCCAGGCTGGGACCCGTAGGAGAGGGTGGGCCCGGGTCCCCCTCCTCTCACACCACCTCCGGAGCCGGTACCATGCCGACCCCAGGAGGGCGAATCTACCAAACGTCACTGACAGAAAGACCCCTATTGAGGGGGACGGTTGCAGGGTTCGCAGATCCCCCAGACTCGTTGGGAGCAGGGTGATCACACCCGACGACGCTGGCCCGGGGCCTGACCCGGCAACTGGCATCACAGAGTTGGGCATCGGGGTCTGCCGAACCCTTCTGCCGGACGGCAGGGGGTGATCGCACCCCCAAACTCGTCTACAATGACCTTTATGAGGAGATGGATTGCACTCTCAGCAAGTTTGCAGATGACACTAAGCTAGGGGGAGAGGTAGATATGCTGGAGGGCAGGGACAGAGTCCAGAGTGACCTGGACAGATAAGAGGATTGGGCCAAGAGAAATCTGATGAGATTCAACAAGGACAAGTGTAGAGTACTCCACTAGGGATGGAAGAATCCCAAGCATAGTTACAAGCTGGGGACCGACTGGCTAAGTAGCAATTCTGCAGAAAAGGACCTGGGGGTGACAGTGGATGAGAAGCTGGATATGAGTCAACAGTGTGCCCTTGTAGCCAAGAAGGCTAATGGCATATTAGGGTGCATTAGGAGGAGCATTGCCAGCAGATCTAGAGAAGTGATTATTCCCCTTTATTCGACTCTGGTGAGGCCACATCTGGAATAGTGTGTCCAGTTCTGGGGCCCTCACTATAAAAAGGAAGTGGACGCTTTGGAGAGGGTCCAGCGGAGGGCAACCAAAATGATTAGGGGGCTGGAGCACATGACCTATGAGGAGAGGCTGAGGGATTTGGGTTTCTTTATTCTGCAGAAGCGAAGAGTGAGGGGGGATTTGATAGCAGCCTTCAACTTCCTGAAGGGAGGTTCCAAAGAGACTGGGGAGAGGCTGTTCTCAGCGGTGACAGATGCAAAACAAGGAGCAATGGTCTCAAGTTACAGTGGGGGAGATCTAGGTTGGATATTAGGAAAAACTATTTCCCTAGGAGGGTGGTGAAGCACTGGGATGGGTTCCCTAGGGAGGTGGTGGAATCTCCATCCTTAGAGGTTTTTAAGTCTTGGCTTGACAAAGCCCTGGTGGGGTTGATTTAGTTGGGATTGGTCCTGACTTGGGCAGGGGACTGGACTTGATGACCTCCTGAGGTCTCCTCCAGCTCTGATTCTATAATAGGCGAGGTGACCTACACGGCCGGCCTTGCCCGTCTCTGGGGTAGGAGCATCATTCCACTGACTTTCATGGGGTTTGGCTCAAGCCCACCAGAGCTCAGCTCTGTAGGATTCTCCCACTAGAAACTCACTAGGTTTAAACAAAGCTCTGGAAGGGGGAAGGGAAAGGGAGAGAAAAACGCCCAGAGCAGCAGCTTGAAATGTGAAACTGCTGCAGCCTGGAAGGAGTTTGTTTGACAGGATCTCGGACAGGCTACGATTCTGCCGGGGACAGTAGCTCGGGCAGCACAAGGCCATTTTGGGGGCACTGTGTAGGACAGGCTCAACATGCACTCCCAACGCACGGGACAACTTACGTTCTCCTTTGGCACGGCGGTGCGGCTGTCCGTGCCTCCCGCTGGCTGTTCACTCTCTTGGACGGGAGATTTCAGCTTCCCCGGGTCGCTGCTGAACGCTGGCTCGGATAGGTCAGGGGGCAATACAGGCGAACTGGGCGGAATCACAGCAGTGGAAGAGAAGCTGCTATGCTCTGAGAATTCCTCCGCAGACCTGGCGTGGGGGGAGGAACTGATTGGAAGAACGTTGCTGGGCCCAGGCGTCGAAGCCGGGCGTAGCACGTCAGCTGCAGGCGCCGGGATCTGGACTTTGCTTCGAGGCTCTGGAGGGAAACAAGGCCCAACGTGGGTTAATCAGGACGTGTGAAAGGAATGGGAGTTGTGAGCACACACCCCACCTTGCAGTAGTTCACTATTAACGAAGGGTGAGTCTCTCTTATCTGGTGCCTCCTTAGGAAGCCATGTTTCCTGGTTTCTTTGTGAAGGAGGGAAAATGTATCTGCTCCAAACAAAAAGGGAGGAGAGGAGGCCATGCTGCAGTTGGCCTGTCCAACACAAAGTGCTTGGGTAACAAACCAGGCACGCATCACGGGGTTGCTCCAAAGGCCCCCGCTGTCAATGAAAAGACGCCCCTGATGGCTTTAAGCAGGCCCGTGACAGTCAACTGGAGTGTGTCTGTGGGACATGGGGATTCTCAGAATTCATTGCGCTGCAACCCCCCTGCTGACAAAAATGACTACCTGGCCCCGGAAGGGGGGACTGACGCTTCAGCCCACCCAAGCCCCACCGTCCTGGGGGACAGCAAAGCCAAAGCCCGAAGGTCTCAGCCCCAGGCAGTAGGGCTCAGGTTACAGGCCCTCTAAGCCCTTAGGTTCAGTTTCATCTTTGGCCATGGATCCAAGCAAGTGCAAGCCAGGCCTGGTGACCCCATTAAGGGCAGTAAGGCCCTGCTCCCCCACACCACGCTGAAGGGTAGTAAGGCCCTGCTCCCGCACACCCCACTGAAAAGCAGTAAGGCCCTGCTCCCGCACACCCCACTGAAAAGCAGTAAGGCCCTGTTCCCGCACACCCCGCTGAAAGGCAGTAAGGGCTCCAGCGCTCAGCTCTCTGCTCCACCTCCCAGGAGGATGGAGTAGCTAAGCTTGCTGGCTCCCGGAGCCCTCTCTCCAGTGCCTTCAACGAGCAGCTGGTCTGACCCAAGTGCTGCGGGGCTCTACAGCCAGGACCTGTGGTCAGGGAGAGTCTGTGTGAAGAAGGCAGCTGGGAGGGCGCAGACAGCAGCCGTCACATTCGCTAGCTGGTCACAGCTGGCATCTCCACTCTCCAGGGGGCCACTCTGCAGGGGGTCCGGGAAGCCATTTTCTGGTTTGGGTTCACGGGAGGCTGACACTCCGCTTGTCCCCTGCGTCTCCAAGTTCACACCCCAGTTGAAACGCCGCCCAAGCCAGCCAAGTATGGCTTGGCCCCAGGTGGCCTGTTTTCTCCCGGCAAGCCCAAATGTTGGCAAACCTACAAACTGGGCCCAAGTCTCAGGTGTGTAACTCGACCAAGAGACGGCCCCGCAGCTCGGGGGGAAATCAGTTTGGTACATGGAAATTGTACTACCAAGTTACTGGTGCCCAGGCACTGGAGGAAGGAGGCTGTGAATTCAGAGACACCATCAGAGGGGCCCTCTCTCGACAGAGACCAAGCCTGGCTTTTGCCTTCTGGGTGGGGTGGGGAGGAAACCCAAGACTAGCACGGTGGTCAGCCCCGATCCTCTCTGTCTCACTCACCCTGGGTCCCATCTTCCCCTGCTTGTGCCTCATGGGGCAACCAGCAGCGGCTTTGGGCTTCAAAACACACGTGGTGTTGCCTCCTCCCCTACGTCTGGCCCAGCACAGTGTTGACAAGTTGGGAGGAGTCCCGCTTTGGCTGCTCTGAGCCAGCCAGTCCCACAGACAGGGGAGTGGCTCAACACCAGGAACAGCCTGGCATGGGATCGGATGTACCTCTAAGTGTACATCCCCTCTCCCCCAATCCTGGCTGGGCATAGGAGAAACCAGCACTATGCAGACAGTGCAAGTCCCTCTACAGCTGGAAGCCAGTGCAGTTCTGATCACCGGTTTCAACGCCCCTAACTCACCCCTGGGGCTGAAGATGCTGCCCCCTTGCAGCAGGCCCAGATTAAAACACTTCTGTGTGAATACTGACGGGGGAAGCTCTTACCCCTGCTGTTTGCTGGGCCACTGGCACCTTCTGGGCTCTCTGCCAGGCACCCAGCTGACTCCCTACCCCGGTGGGAATTGCTGCCGCTGCCTGGGTTCTGTTCAGGGGTCCCCTGGGAAGCTCCAGCAGAAGAGCCGGAAGCCAGTTTTGCAGAGGAGCTGGCCGAGCGAGTTGTGCCGAGACGTAATGCTCCCGTTTCACGAGCCGACGAATCTTCGCTGAGATCCGGGGGGATGGTGCTTGGCATCTGAGCAGCAGGCGCTGGTCCAACATCAGGGCTGAAACCAGCCCTGCCTTTGAGGGCTCCCCCCTCCCCGTAACTGCGCGTGCTCTGGGCAGAATCTCTGATCTGGGGGAGGGGAAACGCTTCCCTCTCTCCACCCTGCTCTCTCTGCCTCTGGGCCTGTTTCTGCTCTATGTCAAACTGGATCTGCAGGAGGAAAGGGTCACCAACATCCACCACGGGACTCAGCAGGTTCCCATGCTCATAACCCTGCAACGCCTGAATCTTCTGTTGCCGGAGCGAATCTGCAGCCTCCTGCCCCTCTCCATGGACAGCTCTGTTGGCACTGGAAGCCACGGGGGAGCGCTCAAAAGAAGAATAGTAAACCTCTTCCGGCTGGTTCCTGAAATCCTCTGGCCTCGGCGTGGCAGCCGACTCCCCTCTCTGAACAGGCTCTCCAGGCACGGAGGCCTTTCTGCTGCTCCCAACATTCAGGTGGTTCATGTTCCCAAAGTACCCACCACTCACACAGACTGGGTGCTGCTGGCGGCTCGCCCAGTCCTGCCCCTGTCCGATTGGGTCGGAAACGGGCATACCTGGCTCAGCCCCTACCACTACTCCTCTGAGCGACCCCTCACGGGCCAGCTGGTCGCTCCCCGGGGACCCAGGAGACAAACAGGCCTGGCCATCTCCATGGTTACTGCCTTCCTGGGAAGTCCTGAGATCAGCTAGTGCTGCATTCCCAGTGGGCTGGCGACGTGGAGCTTCCGGCCTCAGGGTCAGGGCATCTTCTGTAACCTGGAGGGAAAACAGAGATGTGTTTAGACCATAAGAGAATTATTCTTTGGGCCCAAATCGGGACTGGGGCTCCCCTGTGCAAGCCACTGGCCAGACTCACTCCTAGGCCTTGTTTTGACCCAAGTGTTCTGAAGGAGACAGAGCCTGGGGCCTAAACTCCTCTCTCCACAGTGCACTGCCATGGCAGGCTGCCACCCAACAGCACTGCCTCCACCCCTAAGCCCTGGTCTGGAGGCAGAGCGCCTGGCAGGGGGTGTTTTATACCCACCACTGAACTCCAGAGACAAGCAAGGACTGAACAGACATGGAGACCAGCCTTCCTTCTCAGCCTTGGAGACAGTCACTCCGGGTTCTCCCGCCAGCACGTGTGTAGGGGAAACCCACACACTGTTCCCCATCTCCCTGCTTCGAGGCCTGTGGGAACGAGGGGGCAACAATCCAGCATTTCCCTAGCACCAAGATCATCTTTTAACCAGGAGAATCACCGTTTTCAGGGGCATGCAGAATGAAACAACTACGCCAGGAGGGAGAACGTGACTGACAGGAGAACGTGACTGACCTAGCACATACTGCAGCCACTTTCTGTGGCAGCACCAGCCAGAGAGAGACACACAAGGGTCCAGACCACCTCCTGCCCCCCCATTCACAACTGTAACTCCCTGACTCTCTGGACCACGTGCACCAGCCAGGAGTGGCAGGAGAGCAGCTACTTTGGATGAAATGGGAGCAGTGTGGGCTCCCGTACCCCCATGGGACAGCCAGATCTGGCTGACTTCCAGCCCCCTGGACACAGGGGGCTGGTACGCAGGTAAGAACTGAGCCCAGGTGGGCAGTTTCAAGATTCAGGACAAAACTAGAGTGATCTGGACACTCTCAAAGACCAACCAACCTTTTGCCTTGCCAACTGCTCCATGCTTGTCACCGGAACAGCACGGGCCGCCAGCCCTTTGTAGCCTTCCACTCCGGAGGGACTTGACTGATGAAGCTCTGGGAGACTTGATGGCTGCCTGGGTGATGGAGAGGTGTGGGCATTGTTCTCAGAAGTGGAGCCAGCATGCCAGGAATTGGGATTCACAATGGGTGGTGAGGAGTGGCTGGGCAGAGAGTTATTCACCGCAGGAAGCGGCGCGTTGTTCCTGGGACCTGCAGGAAGTGTGAGCACAGACTGTTTGAAGCGATGGGTAATACAGGCAATGGGGAGTACTGGCAGGGGCTGACTTTAGCACTAGTGAGGCCCTAGGGGTGAGGTGTTCTGTCTAGTCAGACGGACACCAGGCACTGCCAATCAATGTACCGTCACTCAGAGGTGCGTCCTCTAGGAGGGAGAGAAAGAGAGAGAGAGGGAGGAGTTTTTGCTCTCCGTGCTCATTCAGCTGGGACAGTCAATGAATAGTTGTTGCTGTGACAGCACTTCCTGAGAAACGGACAGATGTTCCCTAGCAACGAGGCTGACACCCCACCTCATCTCACCGCGGCTACGGAGCACTGATGTCTGCCGGGCACACCAAGCCCTGGATCCTTACAAAAACATACGAGTTCAAATACAATCTGTGCACCAGGCGGGGCAAAGATCTCCCTCAGAAACCAAGAACTATGGACCTCCTGCAGTATCCTCTCCAAACTCTGCCTCCACCCCTTGGATGGACAGCCCTGCTCCAGGTGAGGACATAACAAGGGGCCTGCAGCCTCCCCTCAGGTCATGCCCAGGAGGATTCCAGAAGGCGACGTTTTCATCACCAGACCTCTCCTGTTTGTCCTTAGCAGGGACCGTTAGCTCGGGCACTAGAGCCAATCATGCCAGGAAAAGAGGATCCTGCACTGGGCTACTTGGCCTTCATGAGGTCCCATTTTGCCATGCCAGCCATCCAATAGGGACTTGCTAGTGAGGCAATATGGACCGTGGGCCCTTCACTATATGGTCGATGCTCAGGGCTCTCCCCATCTCACCAACCCACTGATGTGTGGTAGCACCATTTAGACTGTGCCTCGCAGAAACAGCACCGTGCAGAAGGCTAAGGGACAGCACATGAGCAAATGCTTGCAGGCTGGCAGAGGCCGTCACAAGACCTGCGGAGTTGGCCGGCCGTTTGTGGCACCAGTCTGCAAGCTGGGGATGGCTCTCCAGTAGTCCTAGGCAGCTGAAAGGAAAGGTCCCAGCCCACCTGAAGGGTGATCAGACTTTGCCACCGTTATCCAGGTCTCTGTCACCTCGAGTGGAGCTGCAACATCAGGCCACGCACAAACTCCGGCTCTTGCCCAGCCCAGAGGTACAGTAGTCACCTTACCCCTGTGCCCTCCAATTCTGCATGTGGCATTCAACCTCAGTGACGGGGGTGCTGGCCTTTCTCCTCGGCCGGTGCCACCGCAGAGGGGATCGACTAAGCGGCTGGAGCCAGCAGCCCGTAGGTTTTAGCAAGGGGAAGGGGCAGGTGCCAGGGCCTGCTGATTTCCTTCTTGAAAGCTTGGTGCTGCATAGGCTCCGGAAGTGTGTCAGGAGAGGGGTAGACAGGTGAAAGGCAGGGGATTGATTTATTAACCCTGCAGGCAAGGGGGATGGAGGAGTCAGACTTTATAACAGGCACCGGTCTCGATCACAAGGGTGTATGTTTTAAATATACGACGCAAATCAATTGTAGAGCCCAGCGCCTGTAACAAAGTGATAGCTCCAAAGAGATTTCCAGGAAATGGGGAAGAAATAGCATTGTTTCAATGGAGGAAGGATTGCCCAGTGGTTAGAACATAAGACCAGCCAGACTGGGTCAGACGAGTGGTCCATCTGGCCCAGTGTCCTGTCGTCTGACACTGGCCAATGGCAGGTGCCCCAGAGGGAGTGAACAGAACCGGTAATCATCACGTGATCTCTCCCCCGTCATCCATTCCCAGCACTAGCCTGGGCCTTGGGAGGCTGTGATGTAGTGGGGGTACTTGCTGGGCTGCGGTGACCTCTGCTGTCTGGAGCAAGACCCGTCAGGGAAAACCTTATTATGCAAAGGTACCATACCGGTTGAACCAGCCTACACCCCATGGGGAGAAACAAAGGGAGGTGGAATGCTGCCCTGGCTGGGGGCAGGGCTGGGAGAGGTAGAGTTAGTTCCTGTCTGGAAAGCAGGGGAGAAGGAGCAGGGGAGGGGGGCTGGGACTCCCCTATCTCAAGGGGAGCACTGAGGCCTCTTAGCCCCAGTTCCTGTAACCAGATTACATCTGTGCTATGCTGTATCCTGGAGGAGCAATAAACCACCCTCAATTCCACTGGCTGGTGGAGTCTGTTTGTGCCCTTTCGGGGTGCAGGAGACGGGGGACCCCCAACGCGCCGTCACAGAGGCCAGTGTTTAAATCCCAGCGTAGGGCGAGATCCTCAGAGGTGTTCATTTGATGCCAACGGGAGTCTGGTGCTGCCCCGGCTTTGGTGCGTCCTCAGATTCCACGAGACGGCTTTAGGCACCTCTGACAACCTGCCCCCACCCCATACCCCTGCCCTGCCTTACCTAACAGTCAAGACTGCAGGGTGTGGAGATACCACAGTGGTGGGAGCACTGTGAGAACCCAGAGATGTTAAACACTGGTCGACTATCCGATAAGCATTTGCTTTTTGGATAGTCTTTTGACTAGTCAACATCCCCACCCCCCTGCCTTGCTGCCTCTATGATATAGAGACAGCAAAGGGGTGTGGGGGGATAGAGGTACTTCAAAGAGGCAGTACTGCACAGGGAAACCCCAAGGCAGCTGCAGCACAGCTGATCCGCGGATCAGCTGTGCGGCGGGCTGCCCCTTTAAAATGCCGCCTCTGTGAGAGGCAAAGGGGGAGCCATGGAGTTCAGGATCAGCTGGGGACTCCCTAGTTGATCCCGGGCTCCCCGCGACAC